CACACACACACACACACACACAAAATTGCCAACAAGTAAAACCAGGAAATCTGAATAAGATCAGGGCTTGTATCAAAGTCAATATCCTGGTTGTGATCTTGCACTATAGTTTACAACATGTAACCATGAAGAGAAGCTGGGTCAAGGGTACCCACAACCTCTTTGTATTATTTCTTAGAACCACATATGAATCTATAATTACCTGGATATAAAGAGTTTAATTTTAAAAATCACCGTGAAAAAAATTAAAATATAATTTCAGTGGGACTACCTCGGGCCCTTCTGCAGCTCAGGGTTGAAAAAGACCCTAAAATATCCTGGAGACATCTCTGAACAGGGAGCAGCGAGACTTTGAGAGAGAAGACAGGGGAATTCAGGGAAGGCAGAGTATTTTATTAGAATTAGAATTAGAACCCACACTGAGACTTCCTGCAGGAAGGTGTGTGTGTGTGTGTGTGTGTGTGTGTGTGTGTCTTGGGGTGGGGACGGCAGACAGGCATCGGGAGTTACAAATTAGTGTACAAACTCCCCGTTAAATTATCCCATTATTCATTTTCAAAAGCATAGCTATATTAATCTGATAAGCAAATACAGTCTTGAGAATGAAGCACATTTGTATTATCAGAGGAAAATATATGCGACACAAAAGACTTAGCTCCGTGAGAGACCAGAGCAGGATCCTGCCTTATTCTGCTTGGATCCCTGTATTAAAATGTAGGTTTTATTATTATTCAGGTATGGTGAGACCCGTAGATTAGGATACTGCTGGCATTGAAGAGTTAGCTATTACTTACAGTTCCTAAAAGGAAGGGCAAACCACCCCAGACAAAGATGCACAGAGAAGCACCAGGATTCACTAGGAGGCAGAAGAAGCAGGGAGTGGGGGGCTGGGGAGACTAGGCAAGTGCCTTTATTGTGGTTTCTGCCTGAAGGAAGAGGAACAGTGGAATGGGGAGGCAGGGTAAGCAGGTTTAGGATTGGCGGATTTGAATAATTTCCGTGGCTCTGGGGCTTAGGGACCGTCCCTAGCAGTGTGTACCTGGCTTTGGGTGATAAGGGCAAGGGGACAGTAGCCCAGAGTGTTGTGGGGAAGTGGGCTCTGGATTGGTTAGTTTGCATATGAAAGGTGAGTCCTTTATGAGCTCTAAGAATTGGCTAACCCTGGGAGAGGCAGCCTCTCCAGAGTCAGCCAGACCCCCTCTGCCCCCGCCCCTCCGCCCTGGGTCAAAGCATTAGAAACACAGGGCAATACAGTGCCCAAGGTCTAGAACAGGTCCTGGTACTTTCTAGGGGCTCAGTGAATATTTCCCGAGGGAAGGAAGGTAGAGAGGGAAGGTGGGAGAGAGAGAGAGCCTTACATGCCTGTACCATCCTCACTGGTCCCTTGGGCAATGTGAGAACTCTCCTCTCCCCTCCTTAGCCCTCCAGGCACTGTCCTCCAGAACAGGCAACTCAAATCCCTGATTACAGAAATGCATCCAATGGGCTCACCAGGGGGCGATGTTCCAGCCATCTCACCCCACCAGGCAGCTTTTCTTTTCTTTCTTTCATTTTCTTTTTTTAAGATGTTATTTATTTGACCGAGAGGAGTGCATAAGCAGGGCGAGAGGGAGTAGCAGACACCCTGCTGAGCAGGGAGCCCGTTGTGGGGCTCTATTCCAGGACCCCACGATCATGACCTGAGCGGGAGGCAGATACTTAACCAACTGAGCTCCCCCCCCCATCCCCGGCCCCCATAGCTTTTCTGTCCTTCCACGCTCATCACTCCTTTCCGCCCCACACTCAGAGGAGATTTCATTGTTACTTCGTTGGTGCTGTTTGTTGGTTTGTAGATGGGTAATGCTGCAAAGCGAGAACATCTGAAACGGCACTAAGGGCTGAGAATGAACAGCAAGCTCCCCCCACTCCCCACTGCCTCCCCTTCCTGAGCTCCCCAGTTCCCTGCCTTCACTGTCCTCCCGCATCCCTCTGGAGAGGTCTCTGCTGAAGGCTATAACCATCCATCCCTCCTGCATGTACATGATATACACATCATTCTCTGCTCGGCTCCTTTCACCTAACAGTGTATCTTGGAACTTACTCCACATCCATACATAGGGAATCGCCTCGTGCTTCAAAGTCAGAACAGTACCCATAGTTTTGGGTGGGCCTTAATTGATTTAAGAAGACCCCTCATGACAGACAGACAGACATCCAGGCTGTTTCTAATTCTGGCTTCTACAAACCCTGCAGCACTAGATACCCCGTGTGTACATGTCTGCAGGACATCTTGCAGAAGTTATGCATGTGTTAAATTTTTAGGTTGCCCTCCCCAGAGAGTCTATCAATTTACACCTTCTCTTTATATAGGAAAGAAAACAGGTCTGACTGTCTGTCTGATTCAATGCCTAGTTAGGACAGCAATTCTTCAAATCCTGGAGTCTAGCTGGGAGATCAAGCCTGGGGTTTCAGGTCTGCAATCTACCCAGCCAACTTTCTGCCCCCCTCCCTGCCACCTGGGGTGGGGCGGCGGGGGGGGGGGGGGTTGGAAGTCAGGAAGCAGATCAGGTCAACTCTATCAGGTCATTATCTATCCCTATTAGCTTCCTCATCTAAGAGTCGGGAGAGGGCTCTAGTTGGTGATCTGAACGTTCCCTTCTACTTCTAACTTTCAAAGTCTTTCTGCCTCCCCGAGCCTCTATGGAGTGGGACTGGTAGTCTCTACCTTGTTTATCTTGCCAGGTGATGTGAAGATCCAGTGATATGGTAGAAAGGAGTGATAATTAAACAATTTTGGCATCCCTTGCTAGAACAAGGCCTGGGGCATTCAGCAGGTGCTCAGCTAAAATGAGAGATTAAAGAAATACTGCATGAGGAAGCCGGCTAATGTTGAGATCATCCAGAGGTAGGAGATGACTTCACTGATTTTGTTCCCTCTGCCTAAAATGAGGCTCCCTCGAAGTGGGCCTGGCTAACTTCTGTGTCTCCAGGACTGACCAAGGAGCCTGGCACACCATGGGTGCCCCTTAAATGTTTCAGGGTGGAGGCTGTGCTCAGGATTAGATGTGGCTGTGTTCTCTTCCAGTGTGATCCCGGAGAGTGATAATCGGGACAAGCCCTTTGTCACCTACTTTTCTCCTCCCTGCATCTCCTCTCCTCTGCCTGGATGGGGTGTGCCCCAATAGACTTCTGGTCCAAAGGCCACAAAATCCAATGTTCCACCTTGGCGAATGGGGTAAGCACGCTCAGCTCCAGCTGACTGTTGTCAGGAGAAAATGCAGATCCACTTTTTTTTCGAGAGATTTTCAAGAGAAGCCATACAACCAAATTTTTCTTGAGTTCCCTTGGCGTTTAAGTGTTAAGTTATTCGGGTTTTTTTGTTTTTTTGTTTTCCAAATCCCTGTGGGAGTCAAACCGTCTGTGACTTAGTGGGTGACCCCAGGCTACCAGTTTGGGAATTCTGAAAACTGTCCCTCCCTCCCACTGTACAGATGAGAAAATTGAGGCCCAGGGAGCAGAAAGCATTTGCTGGAGGTGACATGGTCAGGATGAGAACCCAGGTCCCATTTGTCCCCTACTTTTTTCCTCTGTCCTCTCCTCCTTCTCTTTCTCCTTCTCTCTCTCTTTCTCTGCTCTGTTTCTGGGTACCTCTTTCAGTCTTTGTCTCTATCTCCTATTCTCTCCTGTGTGTCTCCTGTATGATTCTCTCAGTATCTCTGCGCCTCTCTCTGTCCCCTCCAGGACTGTTCTCCTCGACAACAAACCTTCGGAGCTGGGTGCAGAGGTGACCCGGCATCATCACTGCCCCCCACGCCCCAGCCCCCAGCCTCGGGCAAGCGCCTCGCCGCTCCCGCAGCTCTCGCCGCCCCCGCCCCAGATTTCCGGTGGAGCTGGCAGGCGGCGGGCGGGGTACCCACGGAGCCCGCTGCCGTCAGCGCCCCTTCCCGGCGTCCGCGACCCCTCCCCGCTGACCTCACCGACGCCGCCACCCCGCGCGGATATAAGCAGCGGCCCCGCGGAGAAGCGGGCAGCCGACGCCCGGGTCCTGCGAGCGCTCCCGGCCTCCTGCCCCGCGGACTTTGGACTCCGAAACTCCGAACTCGGAACCCCAGCATCCCGGACCCGTCCCGCAGAGCTGTCGCCTGGCAGGTAACCACCTCCGTCCCCTCTCCCCACGCAGGGGGCGTCCGGGAGCACTGGGAGGGGGCCCTCTCTGCCCGCTGCCGGGGGAGCCCCAGGGAGAAGCCACGGCTTCTGTCCCCCGAGCGCCTCCTGGAGCGTGGCGTCCGCACCCCCGGTGCTTCCACGGCGCGGGCCGGGGAATTGACCGGGCACACTGGTGGCGTTCGCTCCTGCTCACCCCCGTCCCGGCGGCTGGAGCTGCTCGGTGCCGGGCGTCAGTAGGATGGAAAGTTCTCCATCCCACCCCAGCTTGGATGGCCGCTGTAGGTCCGCGCCGGGACGTAGGGGTAGAACTGGGCAGTCAGGGCGTCCGGCGTCAGAGCCTGAGAGTTAGAATCCGAATCCAGGTGTTAGAAGCAGATTTTTCGCGTTGGACTCGAATCTTAGCCTTCGAGTTTCAGTCTCACCTTAGAAACATTTTTATCATTGAAACTGGGGATTTTAGAGTTAGAACTGGTGTCCTAGCGTGGCCATAGAATCTGACATTAGAAATGGAATTTGGAATCGGAACGTTGACACTGGAATCAGAACGTTGGAAAGGAGCTCTGGACCAAGAATGTGGCGCGGGGAAGGGTCTTAAGCCTGCGACGCGGCATTGTGGCCGTCGGGCGGGGCTCTCTAGGTGGTTACACGCCTGGCAAGCCAGCCCTGCGCTCAGTGACACTGAGGAGTGGCGGTGACGATGGAGTTCCCACGGCTTCCAGGCTCGCGCAGCAGAACTGGGCGCGCGACCAGTCACTCCAAGCATCTCCATGGGTGAGGACACCCAAAGCCCGAGGCTGCAGGGCCACCTGCCACCTTAGGGTGGCAGGTGGCCCTGCCCGCGGGAGGATGTATGAATGGTTTGTGACCCAGGTTGGGGACCCGCTGGGACAGGAAAGGTGGGAAGATGGTGCGGACTGGGAGAGGGGTGCGGCGCGCTTATGCTTTCTCTCTGTCCTCCCAATTCCAGACGCCGCGATGCCCGGCGCTTGGTTGCTGCTCGCCATGGCGCTGACCCTGACGGTGGCTGGTTTTCCGGGAGGTAGCGCACAGCCGGAGGTGGCCCAGCAGGAGGCAGCGATGGCCGCCGAGCATGCGGGTCTGGACGACCTCCTGCACCAAGCAGAGCGCCTCTTACTCCTCCGCGAAGACGTCCAGCGGCTGCGAGGAAACCAGGGCGATCCCGAATCTGGTGAGGACCGGGCGTGTGTCCCTCCGATCAGAGACCCTGAAGAGGGCTGGAGGAAACCACGACCCAGAGATGGGGAGGGACTTGGTCATCCAAACTCTTGCCTTTCTGAGCTTAGAAACTGTTGACCATAACCTTAGCAGGATCATGAGTTGACCCTTTCCTGAGATCAGATTTCTCTTCCGTGTGGGTCCTGGAATATTTCACAGAGAGCCAACTTTCAGTGGGGAAGATTCTGTGCAGGGGAGAGAGAAAAAGTCTCTGTATGTGACAGTTTTAATTACTGCTTACTAGGTGCATATATGCCAGGCACTGATCTCAGGTGTTCAAACACCGTATCACACTATTTGATCTTCCTAGCAAGCTCTTAGATCCATACTGTTATTACCCCTCATTTTGCACAGAAGAAAACGGAGGTTCCGAGAAGTTAAGTGAGTTGCTTATGGTCACACAGCCAGGGAGTGGCAGAGCTTGGACCGGAGCCAGAGGCCCTGCCTTTGACCATCTCTGCATGTGCGTGCGTGTGCGTGTGTGTGTGTGTGTGTGTGTGTGTGTGTGTGAGAGAGAGAGAGAGAGAGAGAGAGAGAGAGAGATTTCTGAGGGGCTGTACAAGGCCTTGACTCTGGATGAGTGCTTCAGGGAATCTGCCTTAACTAGGAGAGAGACTGGAGGGGGGCTGCTCAGGGGCAGAGGGTCCCTCACTGGTCTCTTTCCTTCCCCAGAGTCTCAGATCATTCAACCCGACTGGCTCTCCAAGCGTCAGCATCCAGGCAAAAGGGAGGGGGAGGCCCAAGAGGGGGTTGAAGAGGAGGAGGAAGAAGGTGGGGCTGTGGGCCCCCACAAACGGCAGCACCCTGGCAGGCGGGAGGATGTGGCTGCCTGGTCCGATGTCACCCAGCAAAAGTGGCAGCATCCTGGCGGGCGCCCCTCCTGGCTGGGTTACACTTTCACCAAGAGGCAGCACCCAGGCAGACGGCTGGTGGATTCCAAGGCCCAGAGGAGCTGGGAGGCAGAGGAGGAGGAAGAGGAGGAGGAAGAGGGCGAGCCCATCCCTGAGAAACGCCAGCATCCCGGCAAGAGGGCTCTGGGCGGCCCTTGTGGGCCTGGGGAAGCCTGTGGTCAAGCCAGCCTCCTGCTGGGACTCCTAGATGATCTGAGCAGGGGTCAGCGGGCCGAGGAGAAGCGGCAGCATCCTGGGCGGCGGGCAGCCTGGGCCAGGGAGCCACTGGAGGAGTGAATCCAGTTTCCTATAAAGTTTAGAGTCTGAGAATGTCTTAAGCCCTTGTGGCCCTATCCCTTTGTGACCCCCTCTTTCCCTCCCCACCTTAGATCCCTGACCATACACCTGGGCCTCCCCCCACCCCATATACAACACCCAACTCCCTGGCCTTGTCCTCCCGCCCCCTTCAGGGACATGAGAAAGAAAGCCTCTGAGTTTAAACTCCATATTACCCCAACTTTCCACTGTTGGCTAGGGGTCAAATCCCAGAATCCCTCTCCTCGCACTCCCTCTGGCTGCTCCCCTTCCTTAACTCTGGCTAAAATGATCCTTTTGTGTCCTCCAAGGGACCCCCAGAGAGAACCAGGGTGACTCTGGGTCTAGCAGACATTGAGGTCAGGGTGGGATTGAAGATGTGATGTCCAAATCCAGTTCTTATCCTCACCTTCTTGGGCATCCTTTTGTGGGTGGGCAGAGCCCTGCCCCAGGGCTGTGCTCTGCTTGGGCGAACCACTGCGGGGAGGGGCATCCTGTGCGGTGCTCTGTGGAGGGTGTGAAAATAAATCTGTGCAGGCATATGGAAACCACCCTGAAAGCTGACTTGTATATAACCCTCTAGCGTCTTCCCCTGTCCATGATAATCATCTGAATGATAATAAACCATGCATCTATATAATCTTGGAACTCTGTGGTTGCAGTTTTGTCTCAGCTGGTGTGGGTTTCTCTCTCTCTCTTTTTTTAAAAAGCTTTTATTTATTTATTTGACACAGAGAGAGAACAAGTAGGCAGAGCGGCAGGCAGAGGAAGAGGGAGAAGCAGGGTCCCTGCTGAACAGAGAGCCCAATGCGGGCCTCGATCCCAGGACACTGGGATCATGACCTGAGCCAAAGGCAACTGCTTAACTGACTGAGCCACCCAGGTATCCCTAGGGTTTCTCTTTTTTTTTTTTTAAGATTTTATTTATTCAGTTGACAGAGATCACAAGCAGGCAGAGAGAGGCAGGCAGAGAGAGAGAAGGGGAAGAAGGCTTCCTTCTGAGCAGAGAGCCCGATTCGGGGCTCGGTCCCAGGACCCTGAGATCAGGACCTGAGCTGAAGGCAGAGGCTTAACTCACTGAGCCACCCAGGAGCCCCTGGGGTTTCTCTTTTTAACACTGAATGGGATGGGATTAGAACTCCCAAATTCTATTGAGAAAGGGCATCAGGGACTCTGGATTACAATTGTAATCTTCGTGGTTCAATGGCAGGAATCAACAACCTGTGTCATCCAGCATCCACAATGAGAACAAAGGACCAGGCTGTAGTTGGGGACTCAAACCAGGGGCCTTCTGGGCCTGAGGAGGGAGGGAAGACAGGTGCAGGACAAGAGGGAGTGGTGGGGACTGAGGCAAAATGAAGAATCCAGCTAAGTGAAAACACCTAAATCCAAAAACTTCACCATTGTGTGAATCAAATGATATTAACAACAATGCATACACAACACTTATTATGTATCAGGCACTGTCCTGAGCACTTTACATATAACCTTTTTATTATTTTTTAAGATGTTATTTTTTTAAGTAATCTCTACACCCAACATGGGGCTCAAACTAACAATTCCAAGACCAAGAGTCACAAGCTCCACCAACCCTATATTCTTTTAATCCTCACAACAGTCCGTCTATGTATTACTATTATTATGCCCATTTTCCTAATAAGGAAACCAAGGTACAGAAAGGTTAAGTAACTTGTCTGTGGCTGAATTTGGCCCAGTCACTGCCAGTTTGCAATCTCTGATTTAGACTGAACTTCCAAATTTCCTCAGACTCTGAATTAAGCCACCATTTGTTTGGTGGATGATGAGCTATTTGGGTTTTCTGCAGACTGCTCCTGTCCACCTTCTTGGGCAGTGGAAGGAGGGAACTCGAAGGGTGTCTGTCCCCAGCTCCTCTCCTTGGGGTGCTTGTGGTTCAGGTGTGGTCAGGACAGAGGAAGACTTGGGCTTTGTAAGATGCATTTACACCTATATTTTCAATATTACTCCCCCAAGCCCTCTGAAATATTAAGCATTTGATGGATTTGCTGATTTCTCTCACTTTTGGATGAAAGAACCAACAGAGACTAGGGTCTCACCCAAGGTGCATGAAGCATGTAGGGTTGGCATTCCCCTGCACCTGACTTTCCACTCCATGTGGCCACCTTAAAACACCCAATGTTGCCATCTGGGTAGGTGCGGCCCTAATAACATTCCCTCTGCTCACAGTCCCCTTCTGAAGGTGAGTGCTCTAACAGAGCCAATATGAACCATTTATGCAGTCATTCCTTGGTACTCAGTGCTTATAGACACTTTCTCAGGGAATCGCATGATCACCCCAGGCTGGCTACCATGTCCACTTGCAGTTGAAGAAAGTTGAGTGGCAGTTGAGTGTGGATAAGTGAAGCACTTGACCAAGGATATACTCCACATTCTCTTGCTTCCATACTTGATTGATGTACACGGTGTTTTTACCTTCTCAGATAGGGGAAGACTTGAAGAGTGTGAGAAAACCACCCTCTTACCCATTTAAGGCTTTTCCTTCTGTTCCTGTGTGTGATTGTACCAATGCACCATGACGGAAAGGATCTGGGCATTGGCTTCAGCCCTGGACAGATGATTAAACTAGTTTGAGCCTCAGTCTTCTCATCTGTAATATGGGCCCAGCAATCCCTACCCCTCCCTCAGAGTTGTTCTAATGATTACATGGGATGGAATGATATGTGTACAGTCCTAGCACAGTGCACCACACCAAGTAGATCCTTGATAAATGGCATTTTGAGCTCTAGTGCCCCAGGATCAGAAGGTATTCAAAACTGAACCTTGTAGAACCACTTACTCCTTCCTTCATTCTCTAATCACACACACACAAAAAGTTAAAAAAAAAAAAACCCACAAAAACCAAAAAACCCAAAAAGTAGTCACTGGGGCTTTATTGTGAGTCCATGCTAGGAATTAGGGATTTATCTTTAGGATAATCTATGTGCTACTCCCCCACATAACCCCTCTCCTTCCCACTCTCACACACATGCCTTTTGCTCAGCCTAGGATGCTGTGGCAGAGACGCTCCATGCACCTCCCTAAATTTCCCAGCCCCCCCTTGCACTTGGGGAGAGTCACATGACTAGCCCTGGCCAATGGGCTGTGAGCAGACAGGTGTCACTCCCCAGTTGAGGCAGTTAGAGCCCATGAACCACCCTTGTCCTTTTCTTTCTGCCTTGGAAGCCTGGGAGTCCACATGTTGAGATGGCAGAATGCATGATGGAAGGTTTCTGGGCCCCAGGGTCATCAGTTGCAAATTAGACATTGTGCACCCACATCAGACTTCTCATGTGTATTAAGTCACTAGTATTGAGTGTATTAATACAAGTAAACTTGTATTAAGTCACTGAGATTTCAGGGTTTATTTGTTACTGCAGCAAACTTAGCCAATTCTGACTAATACAGATGCCTCCTGCCTGGGCCTCTCTCCACTGAAATCCTTCCCATCTTTCCCTTCTCATACGTATCTGCCTCCATCAAAGCTGCCTATATCAGAGCCCAGCATGAAGCAGGTGCTCAATAAATAATTGAGTAGATGTGGAAAGCATTAGGTCACTTCTATTTTTGTTCCCCAGCCTGAATTCCTGGGGGTCCCTGGCCTTAAGGGGCTCCCTATCCAGTAGGAGACAGACAAGCAAACAGATGATGACCACTTAGTATGAGAAGTGTTGATTTTGGTGAGGGAAGCATGCAAGGGGAGTGCAGACAAGGGGTCCTTGGGTGAAGCAGGCTTCCTGGAGGGGAAGCATCCAAGCTAAGTCAATGGATGAATAAAAGAAAAGACATTTCAGACAGAAGAGAAGAACATTAACAAAGGCCTAGTGAGAAGAAATAATGTGTTCTTAGAGTTGGTAATATTTGAAATCCAAGGTATTTTGGACCCTCCTACTCCTCCTTCACCCTATCCTCTAGCCCTGAAGGGCATGTGCCTCAGCCAGGCCTTGTGCCTTACCCAGTCCTCCCACTGTCCCTGCCCTTGTTCAGTCCAGCCAGTCCACACAGGGACTCAGACTGTCATGGCTTAGATGTGTAAGAAAGCGGTGTGGTTTGGGGTGGAATCAAGGAAGGCTTCATGGGGGAAAGGGCACTTGAGTAGAGCTTTGAAGGATGAAAGAAAAAATATTTTTTTTCCTGAGCACTTCCTTTGGGGCCAGACATTAGGAAAAAGGTGACTGTAAATATCTGTTGAATGAATGAATTATCCATCATAGTCATACCCCAGTTGAGAGTAAAAGGAAATCGGGAGAGAAGTAAGATGACTTCTCCAAGTTCATGAGTCTCAAACTTGGGGATTGTCTTTATACTTCCCCTCCCCTATCACCCACATAGAATTTTTACCATGTTCTCTAGATTTTATCTCCTAGACACCTCTCAAATCCATCACTTCCCTCTGGCTCCTGAGACACAACTCTGACCCTGGCCACCATCATTCTAGGCCATCATCATCTGGAGAATTCAACGGCCTCCTCACTAATCTTTGGCTTCCACTCTTGTCCCCCAAACCTACTCTCTATATATAGTCAGAAGGACCTTCTCAACATGCAAATCTGATCTTGGAAACCACCTTGCTTAAGACCTATCAATGGCTTCCATTTCACCCAGGGTAAAATCCAAGTTCCTTACTACAACCACCACGGCCTGCCCAATTGGCCTCTATTGTGTTACCTGCACACAACACAGGGACTTTTTTCATGGCATTCCGTCTGTGTAGAGCCCTCTTTTCTCCTACTCTTTATATTACCTGTGTTTCCTTCTGTGTGTCTTCCTGCATTGTGAAGGTTGGAAAGCAAAGACTACATTTCCCAGACTCCCTTGCAGCTAGAGTCTTGGATGTGCAGTAAATTCTCCACATGGATGCTCTCATGTGAGATTTGGAAGGTTGCTTTGCCTATTCCTGCTGAAAAGCAGGCCTGTGGTGAGGTGTGATATTTCTGCAACAGCTTTCCAGTGTCCAAACCCCAGCT